GCTCCCCTTCGTGTCCCAGGACCAAAGTTCCCCAGCACATCAGCGTCATCGTGACCTACGGTAGTGTGTCATCCCGTCTTCAGATGTTGCCTGACACCGGCGCTGATGCTACAGTCATCGGCCCCCAGCATTTGCAATGCTTGGGGCTCTCTCCAAGTGATCTAGGACCGCCCCCCAAGGGGCCTTTGCAATCTGATGTGCTGCTATGTAACGTCAATTCTTTCCTGTGCCAAAAATAAGCCATATTTCATCTAGTACCTCACTCCGTTCATTCGCTAGACCAACTGCAAGGATGACATCTGTATCGACGGTACGAATGAGTATTCGCCGATGACCACATTCCAAGGCATCAGCTGCATGAACCATCATCTTAGTGTCGGCCTCTTCGTGGTTCCATGGTGCCAAGTTGGCAGTGTCCTTCCGGGGTGGAACAGTGAGTACCTGTTTCTTGTCTGTGACAACCAGCTGTTTACTTTCTTTGACAACCAACTGCATAACCTGTTTTGACAGGAAACTGAAGGGTTCCTCTTTGTTGTCACTGTTGCGGAGAAAGTTTTGCCAGTTGCTAGGTAGAGGACCAGAGGCAGTGACCCATCTGCGAATGCCCTTGCCACGGTTACATCTTACTGTTGCTTTTAGGCTCCCAGATTTCAGGTAGCAATCCCATTCCAGGTCAAGTTGAGATCGATATTCGAGCTGTGATTCAATATAGGGAATGAATACAGCTGTGCTGTATTCTTGAAATGCCCTACTGCCTCCTGGCTTCAACATTTCCACAATGGCAGGTCCATCGAGTATAATTGAGGTGACATGTGGAGCGTCAGTGATCTTGTCAGCAAGCTGTTCAAGGGGTGTGAGTAAGTCGGCCTTCTCGATGAAGCGGAGTTTCCCATCACTGGAGAGTGCTGGTGGATAGGCCTGGTTTTCATGCTTGAAGAATTCATCCAAATCACCCTCTCTTGTTTGACAGGCTATGTAGAGCCTGGAGAAAAGTCCACAGTCATTTTTTGCAAAGGCTAGTTGCTGCTTATTCCTAGTTGGAGGCTTGGATTTCATAGAACTGAATAGTGTTAGCTTGTTGAGCTTAATAGTGTCACCAATAGGCTTAGACTTGTTTTTAAGGAATTGTTCTCGTCCAAGCTTGATAACATTTTGCACACTCTTCACGGTTTCTGGACACAAGATTTCCTTTGTATGAAGAACCATTAGGTCAGCACTTCTTCAAATGGGTTTCCCATTTCTTCCATGACAAGTGTAAATGCTTTCACATCCTGAAGAAACTTGTCCTGCGTCGTGTTGGTTTGCTCATGATGGTGGAAGTTAGCCTTGGTTTGCTCAGCTTTCTGCGATGATTCAAATTCAGCAATGACCCGTGCTACTTCTGGACCTGCAACCATCCATCGTTGAAGTGCACTAGGGTTTCCAGTCAAACCGACTGCACCACCATCATCTTTGATGCAGGCATTGTTCTGCTCATGGGCCTGGTCTAGTGTCATTGCAGAAAAACGGCAGGCTGTCTTTTTTGCAGTGAAATGTCCAGCTTGAAACCTTGCAGCCACATCAGGATGCTTATCCGAGAGCTCTGTCATGCCCTTCAGGTGGACTGGAACCCACCGAGAATAATGAGTATGATCCAAGGCGAGGAACCACTGACACAGTTCAGCCAGAGCATCCATGTACAGCGAGGAGTTTGATTCTCGTAGTGATAACAAACATAAAGATACTTAGCTCTAGGTTAAGGGTGGTTGCCCAGTATTGAAACTGGGGACAACATTCAGCCCTTTGCTGACACCAGACACCAAACTCTAGGGACTCATGACCATCACTTTGGGCATCTTCAGTGTATTTGCCATAAGCCTTGTGTTGTAGGATGTTCAGGGTTGCTGCTGTTATCTGATGGCCTCGCCTGGTGCGTGTGACGTGAGCAGCCTTTAGGAAAGAGTTCGCAGTTCCCATTTTCTTTCTTCCTATAGTCTATTTCCCTATGCTTTGCAGTACAGTATTAGACGGCCTCACAGGACTAAGACAGTAAAGTGGCGAAACCTGAATTTTTTTCCTGGACCCGCCCCTGATTTATAGCGGCCACTCAAACCCAGTATCGAGTGGTTCCATATCTGAAAAACTTTATATACCATTACTCCATCGCTGTGCCAAATTTGGTGCTTTCATCATTAAATGCACAATTGTTATGAAAATTGTAGCTATGCCGCTCCACTATAAGGCGTTCAAGTAAGTGTGGGAACTTGGACGGGAAGGAGGGAGAGGTTATTTTTTTTTTTAGTTTAACAAATTTATTGACAAAGCTTGGAGTACAGTTTGCTTATTCTGAGCAATTCAGTCAGGTCTTCACACTGAGGGTGGTATCACTTCTCACCGCCACGCAGGACAGAGGTTCATACATAAAGGAATATATACAGTATATATATATATATATATATATATATATATATATATATATATATATATATATATATATATATATATATATATATATATTATATATATTATATATATATATATTATATATATTATATATATATATTATATATATATATTTATATATATATATATATAGAGAAGAGAGAGAGAGAGAGAGAGAGAGAGAGAGAGAGAGAGAGAGAGAGAGAGAGAGAGGAGAGAGAGAGAGCTTTCTCTTTGTAGTACATTGTCTGACTTGGGGTGGCTTTGAGCGAACCATACACTTGATATTACAATTTATGTATCCTTCCTGTCCATGATTTACAACAATAACTGTAGGGTAAAAGTTACAATATTATACTAATAACACTGTCATGTATTGATACTATGACTAGTTACCAAGATACAGAGCACGATGAACATAACATGATAATGATAGTGAAGCCTGGAAGGGTTCATACCATAACTCGCGTGTTCGTGCGTATGTTGCCCCGTGAGAGTTACTGTGGGCCTCCATGTGCCCAGGTGGGATGGTCAAAGTATTACACTATAAGTGTGACAAATGAGGAGTGACTGATCCACATGTAATTTAAGGTTTTTGAAATATTTAGTTAAATTAAACACGATTTTTCATATAGTTATGCGAATGATGGGAAGCATCGTGGTCTGGCACACACACACGTTGTGTGGATTCACTGGGTGGTTTGGAAGTGTTTATTTCCATTCATACTTTCGTAACTACAACCAATGGTATTTTTTCTTCGTGTTCATATATAATGAAGATAATGCAGAGTATAAAATGCCATATACAATAGTTTTACATAATATCATCTATACAGCCATACTATGACTGTGTGTGTTCGTGCGTGTGTTACCTCGTGATAGTTAGAGTGGGCCCCCGTCCAGAAAGGACACTGTTACAACACTCAGCACCATGGGGTGAGAACGAGATTATGGTTTCCAAGTGTGTAGACAGGGAAAGTATACAATAGTTGTACATAAACAGTGAGAAGGAGAATTTGGCAGAACCGTGTTTGGAGGGGGAATAAGAGAAAGTCTTCATAAGGTGAGGGCAATTAACACATGTGAGTGATCGGGTGGTTGGCTGAGCTGGGTTAAATCCAATCACTTATTGCATTGAGGTACCTGGCTTGTCCGTCCGTACGTCCGCCCAGTGTTTTCTTACAGCTGGTCTGTTTTTCGTGTTAGATTAAACGATGTCCGAACAAAATCTTAGGATAAAATTCCCACCCGGATAAAGATCTGGTTAGAATTCCAACAGGAAAAAGATCCTCTAGAACAGTGGTTCTCAACCTTGTTTGCCCCATGCACCCCTTTCACCATATGTCAGAATGTCATTCCCCCCTCCTTTCCAAGATTGTCTGCCTCAAAAAGTGCATTCCAAATAATATGCATATAATACTGAAAATCCTTTATTTTTTCCATACATGTATTAGTACATACTGTATACATTTACAATTTTACACGGATTATTTTTATAGTGGAGTTTTACAAATTAAATGCCAATTGAAAATGTTGATGGATTCATAAAACTTGAATAAAAGTAAAATAGTTTTTTTTTTATTTATAATGAATTACTTAACAGACCAAACTGAAGCATAATGCAATAAACAAAAAGTTCAATAGAAAACCAGGATATTGTAAATTTGTAATTAATTTTATTCAGATGAAGATTACAGTCAATGAGAAACCTGTGATTGTTTTTTCTTCGCCAATTCTGGGATACGCGGAGGAGTGCTTGAAAGGGCACAACGCAGGTCATTTCCTACCTCTAATCTACTACGTTGCTTCGTTTTAATTTGCAACAGAGTTGAAAAGCCTGACTCACAAAGATATGTCGACACAAACGGAAGCAATGCACGGATAGCACTTTCTGCCACTTTTGGGAAGGAATCGCACATCAAGGCCAAAATTCTGTGATTGATTTCTCATCGAACATATCTCTTGCTCCCGAATCAGTTTCCCCCCCCCCCTGAAAACCTGAATTCCCCCCTGGTTGAGAACCCCTGCTCTAGAAGAATAATCCTTCCAGAAATTTTACCTCGATAGTGTATATACTCTAATTGTTATGTAGACTTATAAGAACTAAATTACACTCTGAACAAACGATAAAGGAAAATATAATTGACGTTATCATCATCACTGTGCTTGAAATGCAAAATTTTATCATTATTATTTTTTTAACGAAAATTCGGAGTTCCCAAATACAGTAAGAGAATATATGTGATAATATTATTAACATTGCAACTGAAAGAAAATTTTTTATTAACCCTTTGGTTGCGGGAGGTTACCCTGAGCTGAATAAAATCGTCTGGCGGTAGCCAGAATATAATAGCAAGTGCGGGAATTGCAGCGAAAGGATTAAAAAGAAAATACATTTACAGTACACAAAAAAATACGAACCAGGTAGAGTATATTGTTTGCTTGTTCCTGTTTTTCTCTCTTGGAGTTTCTTTCGCTATATTTTACGAAGTGACAAGGAAATTGGAATGGCAAATTAACCATTTTTAGGCGGGAAAGTTATGAGGTAAACTTACGAACGACTCTTCTCTCCCCACCAGGAACTTCTGCCCGTACACTGTGAGCAAGATGGTATCGTGCAAGGTGGCCAATGGTACGGAAACTTATATGGGCAAAGTTGCCATCGGCAAGCGCATCCAGTTCATGTAAGTAGTGTGTATACTTTTTGCGTTTTTTGTAGGCTATGCATTTCTTAGGTGTACTGTATACTTTTAGTGTTCTATGTACATTTTATATGTATATTTTTGTGTTCTATGTACATTTTATATGTATATTTTTGTGTTCTATGTATGTTTCCTGCAATATGTACATTGTACAGTGTGTAGTTGTGAACTGTGTGAAGTTGTGTGTTGTTGTGTACTGTGTGTTGTTGTGTAGTTGTGCACTGTGTGTAGTTGTGTACTGTGTGTAGTTGTGTATTGTGCATAGTTGTGTACTGTACGTAGTTGTCTGCTGTGTGTAGTTGTCTGCTGTGTGTAGTTGTGTGCTGTGTGTAGTTGTGTGCTGTTTGTGTAGTTGTGTATGCAGGTAGTTTGGGGTATTGTCTGTTTATTGTGTACAGCTTGTGTTTTATATTTTGAACATTTTATATTGTGTGTGTGTGTGTGTGCGTGCGTGCGTGCGCGTGCGTACAGTTGCCAGCAAAAGTTCTCCCACAGTACTGTGTAGCAAGTTGTGGGAGGACTTTTGGTGGCAAATGTATACGTTTTAAAAAATGTTTTGTATACAAGACGTGCATTTAATTGCATGTATATTGAGAATGTGTTTTGTGTGTGTAAGATGTCCGTTGGATCTCTTGCTTCCGGTCTACAAGATACAGAAATAGTACAGTTGAGTCTGGATTTACGCGTTTTCGTTTACGCGTTTCGTCATTTACGCGGTACTTTGCCAGAAGCGGGATGCTTGATTAATGCGGTAAATTTGGTCATTTACGCAGAGAGCAGCTGGCAGTCCTTCCGCACCGCGCCATTTTTGGATTCAAACCTCCTGCGAGTAGGTTGCGCAGTGTATGTCTCTGTTGCGTTTTCGGTGACGTCATATGACGTATCGGACTGTGATTGGGCCACACATCCTTACCTCCCTCCGCCACTAGCTGTGATTGGTTTAATGTAATATGACGTGCCCTGCTGCGGGAGGGATGAAGCTGCTTGTCCTAGCCGCGTCAGTTACATTCCTCCCAGTTACCCCGTGTATGCTGTGTTCTATTGTTCTGATAATCTTGCTAATCTCGTAAGAATGACTTCCACTGGACCCCCACCACCACAGAAAAACCTTGCATTACCTGGACCCAGCCGCCCTAAGTCAAAGAAGATACGACGTGCCCTTAGTTACGAGGTGAAGTACAAGATAATACAAGAGTTAGAAAAAGGAACAAGACAGGTTGATCTCGTGCGCCAGCATGGTGTTAACAAATCTACGATCCGGACGATCAAGAAGGATGCAGCCAAGATAAAAGAACACATGAACATCACAAACTCTGCAGGTGCTTCAATGGTGAAGTACTGCCAGACCAAGGTGCTTCTCAAGACGGAGAATTTACTTATGAGCTACTTGATTCGTCAGGCACTTCGGAACATGGCAGTGGACACGCGGTCGGTTCAAGAGTATGCACGTGAACTGTACATAGTAGTGGCACGTAAGATGGGAATTGCAGAGCCCAAACCCTTCAATGCTTCCTTTGGGTGGCTGCAAGGGTTTAAGAAGAGGAACAAGATCACCAACATTAATATTCGTGGTGAAGGAGTGAGTGCTGACCGTGTTGCGGCTAGTGATTTTCCTCCGTTCTTACATGATGTTATGGAGGAAGGACAGTACACCGACGACCAGGTGTTCAACATGGATGAATCTGGTCTGTTTTGGAAAAAGCTACCTTTCAAGACCTTCGTTGTCATGTCTGACAGCAGGTGTTGGAGCCGGAAGTTGCAGAAGAAGCGCATCACCGTTTTGTTTACCACCAATGCCTCCGGTACCTGTAAACTCAAGTTATTGGTGATCCACACAGCCCGCAAACCGCACGCCTACAAGAACATGGACATGACCAAGCTAAATGTCCACTGGCTAACCGCACGTAAGGTGTGGATGTTCCCTGCTCTGTCGCTCTCCTGGTTTGACGACTTTCTTTCCCGACATCAAGAAATTCTGCGAGCAACAGAATGTTCCATTCAACATTTTGTTGCTCCTTGATAACGCACCAGGACACTCGCCACTACTGTTGGATCGTCACCCCAATGTAAAAGTGGTCTTCCTTCATCCCAACACTACGTCGATAATCCAGCCCATGGACCAGGAGTTGATATGCAATGTTAAGGCTGCATTTTCTGCAAAGAAGTTTAAGCTCCTGAACGACACTACCAACACCAAGGATGAGTTGGGTGACACCGATAGCTAGAGCGACGAGGATGAGGAACAAGAGTTGGCAGATCAAGAAGTTCGTGTCAAACAGTTTTGGAAGAAATTTAACGTCTAGAAAGCTGTTGACTTCTTGGTGGAGGCATGAGATCACTGTCTGTGGCAACGATTCGTCACGCATGGCGGCATGTGTTGCAAGGTATCCCAGGTGGGAGGCAGTCAACCTGTGACTGGTGAGGTTCAGTCTGTTGCAGTGGCACTGGACCTTGCAAGAGAAGCTGCACAGAGTGTTACAGCTGCAGGCTTCTCAGAGACCACTAACAACGACATTATGAAGGTGATATGGGATCCTGAGGTAACTGCCGGCGAGATGTTAGAAGACGATGACGTCAGTGAAGAGGCAGGTGGTGCGTCATCCCGAGAAGAACACAAGTTAACGCCTGGTAATGTTAAGGATGCCGTCGAGTGTGCAGAGAAACTGAAGCTCATCCTTTCCAACGACCCTGACGATAACCGGTATGAAGTCTTCAATAACCAGCTGTTGCACAATATGGAGCTGTACATCAAGGTGTATCACGACAACATCAACACTAGCCGTCAGCATAACATCACAGACTTCTTCACCCGCAACCCACCAAAGCCATCCCAAGCCAGTGAAAGTGACAGTGAAGCTATGGACTTTGAGGGATTTGTCAGGGAGGCCCTGACAACTGTGGTGGATAGTGATGGTGATTCACCTGAGTGCCAGTAATCTGCCCTCTGCCTTGGAACCAGCCGCCATTCCCGTACGCCGACCCATCTCTTCTACTTATGTAAGTGTTAAACCTAACCTAACCTTGATTTTTCCTAACCTAATGCAAGTTTTAAACCTTGATTTTCTCTAACCTAACCTAACCTTACGTAAGTGCTAAACCTTGATTATTCTTTTACTTGGTACAGTATATTATTCTCTTATTGATATTTCTCTTCTATATTATGTGTGTGTGTGCATACCATCATAAAGTTAAGATACTATTTTTACTACAACGTAGGTATTGTGTCTGAAAAAGTGGAGTGTGGGGTATGCCCAGTCTCTATTTCAATTAATCCCATATGTTCTGTTATTTCATTTACGCGTTTCTCGTTTTACGCGGGTTCAATTGACCGCGTAAATGAAGACCCAACTGGAATTGAATTCACACACTACCTGCCATACGCTACATATGTTTATGCTACCTTCTCTTTCTTTCTTTCTTTCTTGCACGTTTCCTCAATCTATGATCTTCCTTGGTTTTCCCTTACCCATACTATTGCTCTCTCTCCTTTCACGGCCCTCATTGACACCCAGATGTTGCGCTAAGTGTATGTCTGTCTTATCAGATGATTAGACTACCCTAGTGACCTCTCCTCCACCCCCCTTCAGGACGATGACGCGGCCGAGGTACGTGACGTCATTCAAGGAAGTGCAGGAGACAGAGTATGGGTGTTGTCCAGGCTTTTACGGCGATAATTGTGATAATAGTAAGTTGACGTGGTGTGTTATTTTGCCACCCATGATGCTGTTGGATGCTAGTGATAATCCTAATCTCTCTTTCTCGTCTATTTGACATTTTTTATTTTGTATATGTCTTATATAATTTCATCAGTCATACCCATTTTTCAATTATTTACATACCGTAAGTATTTCTTTTGTTCATTTCATGTAAGTCGCTCTCTTCTTCCCAGCTTGCTTCAATTGCACTCAAATTCATAACTTGCTGTCACGAGTACGGACGCTGGAGGCCAAGCTGCTGCGATCACCTTCTGCGTCCCTTCCACCCCTGGATGAGCCTATCATTCAGATGGGTCTCCCGGACACCTCCCACGTCAATGGACACCCCCTCAACCGTGGACGCGGGAGGGGACGTGGCCGTCAAAACAACAGAGGTCGTGGGCGTGAGAATAACGGCAGAGGGCGTGGGGGTCGTGGCGGCAATAACAGGAGAAAGAATGGTGGAGGTCGCCGTGACCAAGACCCCCGTGGAGATATTGATATTGTGGAGGAAGGGGGAAATGATGCCTATGATGTGAGTACAGTTCAGTGTTTCTTATACAGTATGTCAAACGTTTATGACAGTGTTCTGTCTCTGTTTTCTTTGTGCCATATTTCTACAAGAGAAATATACATTATATTTATTTACTCCATGAAATCGTTATTTAAGCTTTTTCCTATCAGTAACAGTGAGTAAACAAAAATAAACCTCATTAGGGGAATTATTATTACCCATTAAATGTTGCTTAGTCCTTTTGTGCTATAATTTTGCCAGCATGAGCTGACCAGGGGCAAAGCAGGCGATGTAAGGTGTGGCTCACAATAATTATACACATACATTACAATACAGGCAAGTTGTATCTCTGTCACCAAGAAGGATCACCATATTTTCATTTAGATATACTTAGAGCATATTGTGAATTGAATACCAGCGGACTCATTAAACTTGCTCAATTGGCTTGAAAAATTTAAAAGCCCAAAATAGTTTGTTTTGGGGGAATGACAGTTTTTTAAGCTTGTCTGTGTAATCGTATAAGAGAGGCTCCGAATGTCTCTGGAACTGAAAATCATAAGAACATAAGAACATAAGAATGGAGGAAACTGCAGCGGGCCTATTGGCCCATACTGGGCAGTCCCGTTTACACCCATCCCCTATTGCTCATATAAGCATCCAACCTATGTTTGAAGCTATTCAGTGTATTCGAGTTAATGATGATATTTGGTAACTTGTTCCATTCATCCACTACTCTGTTTCCAAACCAGTGTTTACCTATTTCACGCCTAAATCTAAATTTGTCTAATTTAAAACCATTGTTACGAGTTCGCTTCTGGTTGGATAGTTTGAGTACCTTTGTAATGTCCCCTTTGTTTAGCCCTGCCTTCCACTTATACACCTCTATCAGGTCGCCCCTCGCTCTACGTCTCTCGAGGGAGTGCAAATTAAGATGCTTTAACCTGTCTATACTCAAGGTTCCTAATGCCCGGGATTAGTCTTGTCATTCTCCTCTGAATTCTTTCCAAGGATTCTATATCCATTCTGTAATACGGTGATCAGAACTGAACTGCGTAATCCAGGTGTGGTCTCACAAGAGCAAGATACAGTTTTAGGATGACCTCGCTAGTCTTGTAACTAACACTCCTTTGTATGAACCCAAGTACTTTATTAAGATGAGCCCTTGTTAAGTTTATAACTCATTTTTGTGGACTTGCTGAACACTGATCTCTGGGTCCAGATACACTATAAACCTCTTCAAGTACACAAACATGCCCCCATAGACTAAAATACTATGGTGTTACTTTTGAACTTCTGAACTAGCTTCTTGATTTACAATTTGTTACAAAACAATATTTTTTTTATATAATGTGCTGCAAAAGCTCAGGTTTATGATTTTTATTTGGCTTATTTTCTTCTGCTCTGCTCACGAGAGAATAGGGGCATTGTGTTCTCTCTTTTTATTTGGCCCCCCCTGGTGTCTGTACAGTAAGCTCAGGGTCCTTTATCAAACTTCACAAGTGGCATAAACTCTCGTCATTGTCTGTTGCTCTGAGGGTCAGAGGTCAAGGTATATATGATCCAAACCGTGTCAAAGATATAGACGGTATTCAAAATGAAGGGAACCATGGAAATGTGCTGCTCAAAGGGACACAGGGTGGGACCCGTCTAGACCCTTCTCAATATTTTTTTTTTATGGGGGATTAGCCCACCCAGGCACAGACCAGCGACCCACAACGGGGCCAAAGGGGCAAAAAAATAAGAACGAAGAAATTTAAAATAGAAAAGGAAAAGATTTAATTTAATGTATATGAAACATGCGTAGGAACAGATTTGGTCAATATTGGCCATTTTATTTTTGTATACACATTTTTTATTCTATTAATTTGTAAAGAGTTTTTTTTTTACATTGTGGAAATATTAACACACATTTTATTTGTATTGGTACCAATGATAGACTTGGCATATAAAAACAATTACTCAGAAAAATAGTCTGAACTTTCTGGGCTACTTTTTGGGTGGTTTGTGTGGGAAACTGCTTGCTGTTGTGGCACCCCTGCGTGTCTACTACCAGGCCCTAGCAGTGCCGGCACTCATCATTAGCTTGCCGGGACGAAATTTGAAAATTTGGACACACACTCTTCTTCCCAGATACATTGTCCAATTTTGAGTCTTATCTGAACACAAATAATACAGTACTGTACTGTATAATAAATATTCCATCATCAAGCAGGGCACTAGTTTCACAATACTGTACACATTGCTAGATTTTTTTAATGACAAGGTATACAAACATATTGTCTTGAGGGGCAACTCTCCATGTGACATAACCTGAGATATACTGTAGCTACTACAGTATATAGCAATGAGGAAAACAAATTGTATAACTTATTATGTGTATAGGTTAACAGGTTGGACAACTCGCCAAGATCCACCCTCACCATGGCCCCAGCTGACTCCAACCAGTGTTCCTGTCCACCTGGCCCACCTGGACCACCTGGACTTGATGGCCGGAGAGGTCTTGATGGACAGGATGGCCTCCCAGGTCCTCCGGGAGCACCTGGAGCTGTTGTTACACATGGATCAGGTGAAGATGATCTAACAACCCTGTACAGTAGATACTTGTACTCCATTATTAAAATGATGATACAACACTAAAGTTATGTTAGGACTTGATTTCAGTGTCGATTCAACATTGAATTGACATTGAGTGACTTGGAAAAAACTAAAACCTCGATGTGTATATATATATATATATATATATATATATATATATATATATATATATATATATATATATATATATATATATATATATATATATATATATATATATATATATATATATATATATATATATATATATATATATATATACAGTATTATTATGATAATAATAATAGGAATAAAGAACCACAAAGAATTGCAAAAATGAAAAAAAATCAAGAGTGAGAAACAATTACCTGTATTTATGTTGTGTTATCAATAGTAAGAGAAACAATTGCAACCCTGCTATTGTGTGAAAATGAGGCAGAAAGTCAGATGAGCAACCTGGGACTTGGTCACAATTTTCGTGATGCCATATGTTCTTTGACTTTTCCATTTTTTATTCACGGTTTCTGTGCTGTTTCATATTTAATTACTAAAGTGGTTACTGTTTTAAAGCAAATTCTATTGAAATATGAATGACAAATGAACAAAAATGAATAGAGGGACTTAAATGAGGTAGGTTAGGGATAGGTACTTTGAAAATATTTGTTTTATTTCCATAGACTTTATTTAATAATAACCGACCTTTTGGATTATCCGTCCCCCCCTTCCCCTCATATGTGGTCGGTTATTTGAGGTTTTACTGTAATTAGAAAATCATATCAGGACTTAAGAAGACTTACGTACTTAATCTGGTAAAGAACACCAGAAATAATTGCGTATTTATAGATGTTTGTTAACAGATTAAAGAACTCCTTACATGACAAGTTAGAGGAAAAATCCTTTTTTAGGAAAACTTCTTAATTTTATCTTTTCATTATATATCTTTTGTTACTTTATTAATGGAAACTTATGAAACAGGTGGTGATGTGGGCAGTGAAATAAACTTCATACCTGGACCAGCTGGTCTACCAGGCATTCCTGGACCACCTGGACCAAGAGGTAATGATGGAAGTGAGGGCAGACCTGGACCTCCTGGGCCAGCAGGTCAGCCAGGTCGTGGTGGTCAAGATGGTTCCCCAGGACGCCAAGGGCCACCTGGGCTTCCAGGTTGGTGACCACTTCAGTTATGTTTTAGCCCAGATCTTACAGTCTAGCCCGAGACCCAGACATGTGTAATCGTATTATAAGACACCATTGTTATCGACTGTAGCTACTTCTTAATTTTCACCAGAACTGAGTCACATATACTTTATCCTTTTTGTCACTGATTGACTTGTTAGTTTCTGAGCAGTTGATTACATATGTTTTGCACTGTTGGCAATTACTGGGCATGTACTGGTTCCAGGATGTACATATATGTGTACCTGCTCCAGTGTTGGTCAAATCTGGTCTTGAACGAGCTCGCTCTGTGCCGTCACAACGACGCTTTCTGGTAGATTGTTCCAAGAGTTCACCATCCTCACTCAAAAAAAGTTTGCCTTGACAATTTTTTGAAGTTGTGCTTCTTCAACCTTAAGCTGTGACCTCTAGTGGGTCGAGCATCTGCCAGCTCCAGATATGGACACTCGACTGAGTAATGTTCTCTTGTGGTGTTCATAGACTTCTATTAAGTCACCCCTTGCCCACGTATAGTATAAGCTAAACAGTTGTAAGTGTTCTAATCTCTTTGGGTAACTGAAGTGCTATAGTGCAGGCACCAGTCTGGTGCCCCTCCTTTTGACGTTTCCAATCAACTGACGGTCTCTCGCATATCTCTGGGAACAGATGGGGTGACATTACTCCAGACGGAGAAGAACCTCACTTTTGGATAGCATTATGAGGGACAGACCATCTAGATATCTGTACGACTTTCTTGTAAGACCCACTAGCTTAGTCGCTGGATTCACCTTCTTCTCTCAATGGTCCGAAAACTTTATTTCATTTTCAACATACACACCTTTGTCCTTTTCACATTAATGCCTTCGGTTTGTCCTGATTTGAGTCTCATAACTACCATCTTCAGGTCTCAGATCTGTTACGCCCACATGTGTCTTTAATTTTGACTTGTCCTGACTTGTAATCTGCCTCTGATACTCTTTTCAGCCCTTCTACACTCTGACTTTCCTTGGTTCCTGGATCTGGCATACATCCTTCTGTCCTGATCATCATTTGTTTCGTCCCATCTCTTGAATGTCTGTTGTAATCGCCACTGTAGTATTTGAACCTTGGCCTGCTCTCATCATTATCTAAGTAACAAACATTTAAATCTGAAAGACATACCCTTCTCGTTAGTTATGATGAGGTCCAGTGATTTGGGTGTTTGTTCCCCTCTTTAGTGAGTTGGATTTTTAACATGCTGGAATGGAAATTTATCTCTTGAGAGTTTCTACAAAAAGAGTAGCAGGATTATTATGGACATTTGGTGAATTTTCATTCGTCCAATCGATGTCGCTATACAGTAGTTGAAGTGCACACATATTGGACCGTACATATGCTCATACATAAATAAAAGTTTTCACATTTTTGAATGATGCATTAATTGGTGCTATATTAACTTGGGACAAAATAAGTCTTTCCTTTAAATCTGAAAGACATACCCTTCTCGTTAGTTATGATGAGGTCCAGTGATTTGGGTGTTTGTTCCCCTCTTTAGTGAGTTGGATTTTTAACATGCTGGAATGGAAATTTATCTCTTGAGAGTTTCTACAAAAAGAGTAGCAGGATTATTATGGACATTTGGTGAATTTTCATTCGTCCAATCGATGTCGCTATACAGTAGTTGAAGTGCACACATATTGGACCGTACATATGCTCATACATAAATAAAAGTTTTCACATTTTTGAATGATGCATTAATTGGTGCTATATTAACTTGGGACAAAATAAGTCTTTCCTTTATTGATATACAGTACTGTACTTGAAAAGCTAGCTTGATCATAAGTGAATGTGGTGGTGGTAGTGATGTCATTACCTGCCTAGCTTATACTATAGGCAGGCAAGGGGTGTGTAGAATTCATAAACACCTCAGAGGACACTACCCAGTCGAGTGTTCATATCTGGAGCTGGCAGATGCCCACCCCACTTATGTAGATGTCACAGCTTAAGGTTGAAGATGCCACAAGTTCAAAAAATTGTCAGGGCAAACTTTTTTGGAGTGAGGGTTGTGAACTCATGAAACAATCTGCCAGAGGGCATTGTGACACCACCAAATGTGAGCTCATTCAAGACCAGACATGACCATCATTGGTACAGATACAATTAGAACCAATACCTTCCCACTACTTGCCAATAGTTCATAATAGAGATATAACCGACCGCCCGGCGACTAACGAGCTAATCAATGGTGAAGCGGGTAAAGTAAAGTATGTTTCATAAGCTGGTTTTGGAGTGGCTCCACATTGTCCTGTAGTAGGAGCACCTTGATCCATCATGCACCAGCTATTGCATCATATCTTCCACCATTTGCAATATTCATAGAATTTAATGATTTTCTTTGTAGGTACTCCAGGTGAAAGTATACAAGGACCAAAAGGAGCCCCAGGTCTGGATGGTCTCACTGGCAAGCATGGTCCTGTAGGTCCACCAGGACCACCTGGTATTGTTGGACCATCGGGACAGAAGGTAATATTGTCCCACTTCACTCTTGGTTATAGAGGAACAGCTCTGCTGTCTCTTTCATCGCATATTTTTTAGGTTTAATTAGTTCCTGCTTTGTAGTTAAATGTAAGTGATTTCTGCCCCCATATACTCTGTAGTACAGTATTATTCTACTAAGGGAAGGGGGCTTGTTGCCTTGTTGCCTGTGAATATCCATGAACTGACTCTGTAAACAGTTTGGGCATCCTGTTTGATCGTCATCACCTCCTGAAGGTCCAACCAAATTGCCTGCTGTAATGCTATGCTTGGAGTCAGTAGTGATGGGCGATACCAAAGATTTTTTTATACATTACCAAGTACTGTACAGTATTTGCTAACCCAGTGTCGGTGGTATCGAGTACTGATACCAAGTACAGTACCTGTACTGATATGCCCAGTATCAGTTGTTTTGACTTCTCTGTTGGAAAAAGGAAATGAATTTCTGTAATTTATTTATAGACCCTCTTACATATAAAGAGACAAAAGAAAAGGTAAATTTGACAGATAGTACTTATTAAAAAAAGGAAATGCTTCTCCTAAGCAAATATTATCAAATGGCATGTAAAAGTTCTTTTCCCAAATAATGTATGATACAGGATTTACATTTTTTAATTAATTTGGAACATTATGCAATTAAAATACAGTACTTTTCTTTACTCATAAAATAGTAAAAATATCACTTTTTTAATACACTACAGTATTCAGTTTCAAGGGAAAACAAATTAATAATTTCTTAAATGCTGAAGTTATAAGAAAATAAATCAATCTGCATTATATTGGGTTCATTTTAAAAGGAAGGAACTAATTTCTGAGATGACAATTCACAAATAAAATCATTTTTGCATTACAGTACTGTGCAGTGGTCCCTCAGTTAATGAACACAATTCGTTCCACAGAGTCGTTGGTTAACCGAAAATTTAGTTAACAGAATCCATTGTTTCAATGTGATATTGGGTAATTGGTTTCAGCTCACAGAAAAGTTCATACAAAGTAAAAAAAAAATGCAGTAAAGTTCACTTACTTTGAGGTGTGTATGTAGAAGGCTCCTGGTTGATGATGATGATGGGAATTAGAAGTGGGGGTGGAGGAGAAGGGAGAAGAGAAGGAAGTGGGGATGGAGGAGAAATCACTTTTCAGGGGACCCATGCTTGATGGAGTAATTTCACCAATAAAATTTTAAGTTCACTAGGTGTAATTCAAAATTATTTTATTTAAATCAACACTGCACTGCACTATATATTTTCAATATGTTAACTAAATTTCAGAATGACCAATAGTTTTTAGTTTAGTTTAACAAATTTATTGACAAAGCTTGTAGTACAGTTTGCCTATTCTGAGTAATTCAGTCAGGTCTTGACACTGAGGGTGGTATATATATAGAGGTCAGATTCATGTGGGTAATGTCACTGTTCACTGCCATGCAGGACAGAGGTTCGTACACAAAGAAATACATCATATTCATTAGCAGTAATTACTGCATTGAATCGGGGGTGCTTGAGGACATTCTTGCTGTTTATCACAAATTTGCTAGCCCACACTGATTAGTCTTCAATTAGAATATGACGTCCAATGTATGTGAACCACTGATCTATATATAATGACCAATAATTTTAATGTAAAAATGCAAAAAATATTCAAGACACCAACAAAATTGATGTTCACTCCACTGTCAACAAAACCAAACTGACGCCTGGTGGCTGAGTCAAGTGGCTGATGGGCGCACAAAAAAACCAGTTCCCTGTACTGCATATATTATCAATATGTTAAGTAAATTTTAAAATGACTAATAATTGTAATATAAAAAATGCAAAAATATTAAAGAGCACAACTTTCTTGATATTTACTCCACTGGAAACGAATGTAAACATAGAACAGATTACTGAATTGGCAGACTAGCCCATCAGCTGATGCCCACAACAAAACGTGTTTTTCGAAAGGATTTCGTTAATCAAAGTTTTGTTCGTTAACCGAATTGAAAATCCTTATGGGAGGTAATTCGTTAACCAAGATTTCGTTAATCGAACCGTTCGTTAACCTAGGGACCACTGTACTAGGTTTCTGACAACTTCTTCTATCACTATAAACACTTTCAACCTGCCATTTCTTTGTTCCTTAAATTTATGATGAAATAAAACTCCGTTAAAACTAATCCTGCTAAACATTCAGTATTGGCTCGTGTAAATATTCTGGTACTGTTTACTGTATGTAATAATATCATCATTAGGGATGCACAAACACTTTGTTTTTTTTGTTTTTTTTTATTGGGCACCCCCCTACATCCTTGTGGAAGGTGAAGCACAGAAGCGTTTACAGCGCCCAACAGGGAAGCATGCTAAGTTCATGTTTGCCTTTATGTTTCACGAGTCAAGGGCGTAGAAGCCTGAAGAGTCAGTGGTTTATGTCATCAAGTTATTGGAAGCTCCAACAACTTTCCCTGAATACGAATTCACAACTTTCGACTTACAACAGGTACCTACTTTACTGCTAGGTGAACAGAGACTAATGGGGGCTAGGAAGTAAGTCCAAACAACTTCCACCGGCCCGGGAATCGAACCCGTGACATCTCGCTTGCGAGGCAAGAACGGTACTGCTTCTACCACCGGTCCCCCACAAACACTTTTTTCCGGCCAGTTATTTCTGGCCCGAACCTTGATTTTTATGAAGTTCTGGTTCTGGCTGTAACTTTGGTATAATAACTGGCTGGAACTGTAACTTTTTATAGTGGTACTGGTTACTGTTTCATAAATTAAAATATAATTCACTGTTTATGCTAATTATTTTTAATGGTTAATGAATATTCATATATGTGTAGCAGAAAAAATTTTTACATCTTAAAAATCATATTTATTGTACGAACTGTACAATACCGTTAGTAAATTATGAATGCATAATTATATATAATGGTGATAAATTTCTGATGTCGACTGTGAAAAAGGACAGACAACAACAGAGAATCTGATATATATTATCTTCAATAAACTACTGCAGAAACAGATGGCTAACCTTATTGCTACAACACCCTAAGTTCCGGTTCCTGCGAGAACTTGATATTATGATTTCAGTGTTTCCTTAATAATCATTCTACCTAGTGTTTGGCTGCTAAAGTACTCAAAATACCCAATACTGTACCTAGGATATGGTATCAATATTTTCAAGTACGCGTACCCTATTTGCCGGCGTGTAAGACGCATTTTTTTTTTTTATGTATCGCAAATTACCCTGCATCTAATGCACCCTTATCAAGGATTGGAGGTCGAGCGCCATAGGCGAAGGTGCCTAGCTATTGAGTCTGGGACGGGCAGTAGTCCACTAAGCACAAAAATTATGATACTAATAATATTACTATTAATAAAATACTGAAAAACAAGCCAAATTATCACAATCTGTTATCACAAACTTGCAGCAAATTTGCTGAAGACATAAATAATGGCGTAAAAGCAGAGGGAAGCTCACAACATCTCACTGTACCTCCTTCCCCAGCATACGTAACCCACACCAGATACATGTCTTACATTATTTAACAACTGTGTTACCTTTAAGAAACATTTGTTCATTATCTAAATGAAAAATGCCCCTAGAAAGAATAAAGAAATTTTAACAGAAAGTTCAGCCTCCAGTCAGTCATTTACAATGAGTCGATGATGCCAAAACAATAGCGATGGTGCTACACCCTGGTGGCCGATCATAGCAACACAAAACATCACAGCTAAAAATACAAGTTTCACCTCCTGTCGATTCTCGACCAAAATATAAGCAAGCCACACAGCTGCTCTGATCAGCGGTAGAGTTGGGTTAGTATATAATGTTACTATACAGTGAACCCTCGCTTTACGCGGTCAATTGAACCCACGGAGGCCCGCGTAAAGCGAGATACGCGTAAAGTGAACAACATGACATATGGGATTAATTGAAATAGAGACCGGGCCGAACCCCACGCTCCACTTTTTCCCGACACAATACGTACGTTTTAGTAAAAATAACATCTTAACCTTATGATGGTATGCACACACACATAATATAGAAGAGACAATCAATAATAGAATAATATACTGTAGGTTAGGTTAGAAAAATTCAAGGTTAGGTTTAACACTTACGTTAGTAGAAGAGATGGGTCGGCGTACGGGAATGGAGGCTGGTTCCGAGGCAGAGGGCAGGCTACTGGCCCTCAGGTGAGTCATCATCACTGTCATCCACACTTATCAGTGCCTCCCTGACAAATCAATCAGTCACCATCACTGTCTCTGTCACTGGCTTGGGCTGGCTGTGGTGGGTTGCGGGCGAAGAACTCTGTAATGCTTTGTTGACGGCTTGTGTTGATGTTGTCGTGATACACCTTGATGTAGGGCTCCATAGTCTGCAACAGCTGGGTAGTGAAGACTTCATACCTGTTAGCGTCAGGGTCGTCGGAAAGGAGGAGCTTCAGTTTCTCTACACACTCGATGGCACCCCTTACATTGCTATGCGATAACTTACGTTCTTCTTGGAATGACGCACCACCTGCCTCTTCACTGATGTCATCATCATCTAACATCTCGTCGGCAGTCACATCAGGATCCATTATCACCTCCATAATGTCATCGTTGGTGGTCTCGGAGAAGCCTTTAGCTGTAAAACTCTGCGCAGCTTCTTTGGCAAGGTCCACTGCTACTGCAGCAGTCTGAACCTCACCAGTCACAGATTGACTCTGCCTCCCACCTGGAATACCTTACAACATATGTCTCCATGCGTGACGAACCGTTGCTACAGACAGCTGATCCCATGTCTCCACCAAGAAGTCCACAGCTTTCTTGACGTTGAATTTTCTCCAAAAGTGTTTCACAAGTACTTTTTGCTGTGCCAACTGTTGTTCCTCATCCTCTTCGCTCTTGCTATCGGTGTCACCCAGGTTACGCAACTCATCCTTGGTGTTGGTATAGTCGTTCAGGAGCTTAAACTTCTTTGCAGAGAATGCAGCTTTCACATTGCAGATTAATTAATTCTTGGTCCATGGGCTGGATTAATGACGTAGTGTTGGAAGGAAGGAAGACCACTTTTACGTTGGGGTTACGATCCAACAGTAGGGGCGAGTGTCTTGGTGCGTTGTCAAGCAGCACAAAATGTTGAATGGAACATTCTATTGCTCACAGAATTTCTTCACGTCGGGAACGAAACAGTCATCAAACCAGGAGAGGGACAGAGTAGAGAACATCCACGCCTTACGTGTGGTCAGCCAGTGGACATTTAGGTTGGTCATGTCCGTGTTCATGTAGGCGTGCGGCTTGCGTGCTGTGTGGATCACCGATAACTTGAGCTTGCAGGTATTGGAAGCATTGGTGGTAAACAGGACGGTGATGTGCTGCTTCTGCAATTTCTGGCCCCGACACTTGCTAGCTGTCTTGACAACGAAGGTCTTGGAAGGTAGCTTTTTAAAAAAAAGACCAGATTCGTCCATGTTAAACACCTGGTCGTCGGTGTACTGTCCTTCCTCCATAATCTCACGTAAAAACGGAGGAAAATCCCTAGCCGTAACACGGTCAGCACTAGCTTCTTCACCACCAATGTTAATGTTGGTGATCTTGTTCCTCTTCTTAAACCTCTGCAACCACCCAGAGGAAGCATTGAAGGGTTTGGGCTCTGCAATTCCCATCTTATGTGACACTGCAGCATACAGTTCACGTGCGTACTCCTTAACTGAGCGCGTGTCCACCGCCATGTTCCGTCTTGCCTGACGAATCAAGTAGCTCACAAGTAATTTCTCCGTCTTGAGAAGCACCTGGTTGTGGCAATACTTGATCATAGAAGCACTTGTAGACTTTGTGATGTTCATGTGTTCTTTTATCTTGGCTGCATCCTTCTTGATCGTCCGGGTCGTAGATTCGTTCACTCCATGCTGGCGCGAGATCAACCTGTCTTGTTCCTTTCTCCAACTCTTGGATGATCTTATATTTAATTTTGTAGCTTAGGGCACATCATATCTTCTTAGGCTTAGGGCGGCTGGGTCCAGGTAATGCAAGGTTTCTTTGTGGTGGTAGTCCGGTGGCAGCCATTCTTAAGGAACAATAGATACCGATATACACGGTGTAGCTGGAAGGGGTGTAACTGACACGGGTAGGTCAACGGGCTTGAACGCTCCCGCGGCGGGGCATGTCATATTACATTAAACCAATCACAGCTAGCGGGGGAGGGAGGTAAGGATGCTTGGCCCAATCACAGTCCGATACGTCATATGACTTCACTGATAACGCAACAAAGACATACACTGCGCAACCTACTCGTGCCGCTTACCCAACATGGCGGGATGGCGGGAGAGACGGCGGGAGGTTTGAATCCAAAAATGGCGCGGCGCGAGATGACCGCCAGCCGCTCTCCGCGTAAAAGAGTACACACACCGCGTAAAGTGAGCATCCCGGGTCTGGCAGGGTACTGCGTAAACGTGGAACGCGTAAAAAAAAAACCACGTAAAGCGGGGTAATACTGTATATGATTTCCTACTTGATTCCAGTAAATTTTGTATTTACATGCACAAAATCATATGTTTTTCCCTACAAAACAACTTTAAAATCACTTTCAATAATTGTATGATGAAATGTATTTAAAAAAAATCCACAACATATCCTTGTAAATTAGGGGTACGTCTTATAAGCCGGAAAATACGGTATATAGCTGGTGTTGGTATTGCCACCAAGAGTTACCAATCAATGTCTGAACAAAATTCAGAAGGCTTAAGAATGAGCTGACATTGACTCAAAATAGGAAATTGGAATGCGAGGACTTAAGTGAAATGAGATGGATAGGTTCAAGTACTGTAGTAGTATTTTTACTTAAACTTTTATTGCCACTTATCAGCTTGCTATACACTTGGTGAAAAACACATTAGTGATGTTGGTATGGTATTCTTATAGATCAGAAGTTAGGTCATTCTCGGTATTTATCCATGTCTCAGGGTTTTCAGTTTAACTTCATACTTCCTTAACTTGTATTAAAAATTTTCAAATGTATAAACACTATATTGGAGATTAAAGCTATTTTGAATTGTAGAGAATTAGGTGCTAATTCTTGCAGTAATTCTATGGTATAGTACTTTCTAGAAATTTTTATCTACAGATTTAGTAAAATCCAAAATGCTTACAAAATAACTGATCAAGTTCTTCATTTCAGGGTGAACCTGGCCTCAATGGCATTGCAGGTTCTCCAGGGCAGCCTGGCCAAAAGGGTGAAATAGGCCCAGTGGGAACACCAGGGCCTCAGGGTAGGGTTGGCCCTCCAGGTCTACAGGGAGCAATAGGGCCCCAAGGAGCTGCTGGCCCACCTGGAGCTCCAGCCCCACTGAGCCCAGTCCCTGGAGGACTTGATCGGTTTAACTGTAAGTTGATAACTAGTTTCTTGTCTTAATTGGGTATTTTTTTATATTTAATGCATCCAATGATGCTGGCAGGTCTTATGCATCTTTAAGAAAGCAAAAGGTAAAATAAGCCAATTGACTCCACCAACTCATTGCTCATGCCAGCCCCTCCTACTCTATCTCCACCCATAGTGGATAAGAAAATATCTGACAACTACTTGTATGGAATAATGAACAGATTCAGGAAATTTCCAAGGGAGGGAAAATGCAAATAAAAATGCATCTACTATGAGCCAGAAAGAGTACAGTACTCAAGTATGAATACATTTAGCTAACTTTTTATTTTATTTTTTATTAGCTCAACAGGGCACAGATCAATGACGCACATCAGGGCCTGGGGTGAAAATATAATAATAATGTAATAATAATAATAATATAAATTATAAATGTAATAATAATAATAATAATAATAATAATATAAATTATAAAAATGTAATATTAATAATAATAATAATATTAATACTGTATTAATAAAGAAGTATAATTAATACAAATATTAAAAAAAGAACGATATACAGTGGTCCCTCGGTTAATGTACTCCTCAGTTAACGAAATTTCGGTTTACGAATTACCTTCCATAAGTATCTTCAATTCGGTTAAAGAAAAAAATTTTGATTAATGAAATCCTTACGAAAATCACATTTTGTTTTGAACATCAGCTGATAAGCTGAAGAGGTACTCAGCCAATTCGGTAATCTCTTCTACGTTTACATTCGTTTCCATTGGAGTAAATATCAAGAAAATTGTGCTCTTTAATATTTGTGCATTTTTTATACAGTAGGTGTATTAAAATTATTGGTCATTCTAAAATTTAGCCATCCAAGCTCTGCCTACATAAAGTTTTTCAACTATTATTTTTGGCTCGATATATATTCATTTATTGAAACTCATTTACAGTACATGCACACACTGTCCTAAGGGCAAAGCTGAACTGTACTGTACCTGTAATCAGAATAATGTACAAAATGATAACTAACATTTTTGTCTAGTGCAAACTATGGCATGTTTACATTCAAATTAATTACTGTCTTATAAGAATTCCAGCAATGCAAATTAAATTCTCCCTGGTCACTTCTATTAAATTTTATAAGCAAAAACAAAAACTCAATCTAAAGGACAAATTAACAATTAAATACTTCACACCACAGGCGCCAACTGTCAAACATGTCACTGTCACCCCTCCCTCCCTCCCACTTTCCCAAGAACGGTTTGGGGGTTTTCAGGCTTTAAGTTTTAATCATATATAATATCTCAGACTAAAGTTAGGAGAATATAATTGGCATTGCTGGATTCCTTGCAAAACAGCGAATAATTTGAATATAAACGTCATATATTTTGCACAAAAGATAAAATTTTTGCTCTCCCTAATAAAATTCTTAAATTAGATATAAAATTTGTATGTCTAATGCAAATTATAGCTTGTTTATATTCAAATTGATCACTATCTTATAAGAATTCCAGCAATGTAAATTATATTCTAGCCGGTTATTTATATACAATTTTATGAGCAACATTAAATAAATAAATTAAATACTTTACCAGACCTTCCCAGTAGGTAGTAGGCAGCTATCAAACAGGGAGGTACTACCACCTGGGAAGATATTGGAAGCATAATGTGTTGTCTAATGATAGACCCTGCTGCCATATGGTATCACAAAAATTGTGACCAAGTCCCAGGTTGCTGATCTGACTTTCTGCTTCATTTACGCACAATTGCAGGGACTCAATTGTTTCTCTTACTTTGACAATACAACATACATATTGTTTATCATTTCTCATTCTTGATTTATTTTTTTCGATTTTGTATTTATTTATGATTATGATTGTTTAATATATTTTTTTTAGTATTTTGTTATTAATATTTATTAATTATTATTATAATAATAATAGTTATTATTATTATTATTATTATTATCATTATCATTATCATTATTATTATTATTATTATTATTATTATTATTATTATTATTATTATTATTATTATTATTATTATTATTATTATTATATTCCCCCCCCAGGCCTTGATGTGGGTCAGTAACCTGTGCCCGGTGGGCTTATCCCCGTAAAAAAAAGCACACAACTCCCCCACCCTCTTTTCCCACGCTTGTTGGCTCCTCCTCCCTACCCCCACCTTCCCGAGAAATGTTTGGGGAAAAGCACTAGGCTTACAGGTTTAATAATAAATAATACCTCAGACTAAAGTTATTTATTTTTTTTTTTTTATGGGGATTAGCCCACCCGGGCACAGGTCACTGACCCACATCAGGGCCCGGGGGGCGAAAATTTAATAATAATAATAATAATTCATAGTAAATAAAATTTATAATAAAAAGTAAAATAAAATATTAATGGTAATAATAATAACAACAACACTGTGATAATAATAAATACAAAGAAATGCAAGAATGAAAAAAATCAACAGTGAGAAATGCTATATATGTATGATGTTATGTCATGTAATAGAAACAATTGAGACCCTACAATTGTGTGTAAATGAGGCAGAAAGTCAGATCAGCAACCTGGGACTTGGTCACAATTTTCGTGATGCCATATGGCAGCAGGGTCTACCATTAGACAACACATTATGCTGCCTACTACCTACTACCTGAGATAGGAAAATATAATTGGCATTGCTGGATTCCTTGCAAGACAGTAAATAATTTGAATAGAATCATCATATATTTTGCAAAAAAGATAAAATTTTTGCTCTCTAATAAAATTCATAAATTAGATCTAAAATTTGTATGTCTAATGAAAATTTTAGCTTGTTTATATTCAAATTAATCACTATCTTATAAGAATTCCAGCAATGTAAATTATATTTTGGCCGGGTAATTTCTATTAATTTTGTGAACTAAAAACAAAAATCTCAAGTAAATAAACAAATTATACTTCACCAGACACTATCTGTCAAAAATAATACACCTCACCTCCTGCTCCCCTCCTCTTCCCACGCTCGCTGGCTCCCTCCCTCCCTACCCCTGCCTTCCCAAACAAAAGTTTTGTGTTTTCTTTAGGCCTTAAAGTGTGTATTTTATATAATATCTCAGACTAAAGTTAGGAGAAAATAATTTGCATTGCTGAAATCCTTGCAAGACAGCGAATAATTTGAATATAAATGTCATATATTTTGCACAACAGATAAAATTAATCACCTGTATCACATTACAGTAGTGATTTAAGAGTTCTAGTGTATATGTATGATATATATAGTGATTTAAGGGCAACTTAGGGGAATTTTAGTAGTGCTTCTGACTTTATGCATTTTTGGCTGTGAGCTGGAACCAATTACTTTATTTTTCGGCTTAAAAGACGCACTTTTTATGACAAAAATATACCTCGAAAATTACCATGCGTCTTGCTAGTCGATGAGTTGTAGCAGAGGTTTTTGAAATCAACCCCTTACAAAGACTGTTACCTCATTACAGTACTTAACAATTACAAGTACTCTCTATACAGTACCATAAAACTATTGATTTAACTAATGTTGTTGATATATTGCAAAAAAAAAAAAAAATAAACCTTTGCTGCTGTGAGGTTTGTTTACTAATGGCAGTGGTGTGGCAGCGCCATCTATTGAGGAACTGCTGAAGGTTGTCTGCTGGTCTCAAATGCAGGAATGTTTGTCTCTTTATATGTAGGCTCTCATATTTGGACACCTATTTACAGTAGGCTGTCATATTTGGATAACCATTTAGACTGTAAAAACCCACAAAATTAAAATCTTCCAAATTTAAATACAATTTTGTCATCCAAGTAAAAACACACACACAACAACATTGGCTGTCCTTCTGTTTTCAACTTTGCTACCACTGGTGGGTAGAATTTTTTTTAATTCAGAAACATTAATTAAAATATATATGAACAGTAAATAAGTGTTGCTTTCATATTCTTATGTAGAGTAATGATGATATGTTTACACATGTGCTTACTTACATACTTGATCTCACTTTTTTTTTACCCTTAATTGTTAGCTACTTCCATTGTTCCATTTATTAACATTAAATAACATTACATAAAACAACCATACTAATTTTACTACAGCTACAACCAGGGTCTTATTTTCTTCAGTTTTATATGTAGAACCAATCAGTCACTGGTTTTGTAAACAACAAAAACAATGACGTCTTGTCTCCTCATGTGTTTTAATATTATTCGTATTATTAATGAATTGTATTGTTCAATTTGCACACATAAACAATAATTCAATCAAAAAGAAATTCAGAAACATTAATTAAAACATATATGAACAGTAAATAAGTGTTGCTTTCATATTCTTATGTAGAGTAATGACGATATGTTTACACATGTGCTCACTTACATACGCGATCTCACTTTTTTTTTACCCTTAATTGTTAGCTACTTCCATTGTTCCATCTATTAACATTAAATAACATTACTTAAAACAACCATATTAATTTTTCTACCTTAATTTTAATAGAGCTACAATGGAGGACTTATTTTCTTCAGTTTTATTATTATGTAGAACCAATCGGTCACTGGTTTTGCAAAAAACGAGTTGCTTTTTTTTACTTTTATTTTGTTTTTAAATAAAGATTTTTTTTGTTTTATATAGACGTTGATATACATGTTTACATTTGCTTACCTTCTACTGTTGGAAAATATTTCCCGTCATCGTTGTCATACCAACAAAAACAAGAGAAAGAATGTAAACACTACAGCCCCTAAGATATGGAGGTGACCAGGTGTATAAAGTGAGTGCTGTATTAAAGATTTCACCTTATACAGATTTTTTTTTACTTTATGAAAATGACAACTGATAAGCAGTTCCAAGTGATGATATTCAAAGAGGTGTGTGTACTTGTGCCAAAAGGGCTGTATATCAAGCAACGGTTTCACTGGTGTAGGTAGTAGGCAGCTAATGTACCAAACAAGGAGGTACTACCATCTGGGAAGATATTGGAAGCATAATGTTTGTCTAATGGCAGACCCTGCTGCTA